GCAAGAGAACATCCCTCCTGGTCTCTGCAGCACAGGATTTGTGGTACCTGGTGGGGTCTACTTCCCTGATGTCTGGTAATGCCCAGGAGTGCCTGCACACACTGCTGCAGATTCCCACATGAGCAAAGAACCAGTAAGAACACATACGCGTAGATTCTTGGGGCAGATGAAGCATATGTTCATCCAAAACAGGGATTCAGAGCTGACTCAAAAATTTTGAGACAGGATAGATGCTCATTTTAATTATTTGATTTTTACTGAATTCCCAAACTGGGAATATGAGGTGATCATTACCTGACAATTTATATTTGGTTTCCTGAATTACTTATTGTCAAGGTCACAGTGGGTTTTCACAGATCTCAAATTTCTTCTGTTTAAAAGATTTTAAATGCCACTGTAATGAGGCAAACTTTTATTTGTGTTAACATGAAAAGTTTGTGAGAAAACTAGAAATAGTCTAATAAGGAATTATTTACCGTGTTTTGTGAAGTATCTGTGCAAAACTTCTAGAATTACTTTTTCTTCCTCTCAAAAATATTCAGAAAAACTACTGAAGTTAGCCATGTATACAAAATCCCTATTTTTGTAATGAAGTATTAAGACACTGATATAAAGGTGGGTTTATAACATCAAATATACATATTGCTTATTAAGTCCCTGAAAATACAGCATTTTAATCTCAGCCAAGAAGGTCTTTGCACCTTGTAAATTTTATTTTTACATTTTAAACTTTGGATTTAATATGGCCACTGACAATGAGAATTCTGCTATTTTGTTTCACACACATTGTTCATACAGTAAAATACACAGAATATACTGCATATTCTGTTTAGCTTTATAAATGAAGAGATTCAATGCTGCACTAGTATAAGTAATTTATGGCTAAATCAAGTATGTCTGAAAATCAGTTAAAAAATCCCAATTTCCTGAATTTGAAGCGTTTTTCATTTTGCGCCTCTCTCCAAAAGCTTACAGTCATCCCATGTGCATCCCTTCAACAGCCTAGAGCTTTTAACACAGTTTGATCAACTAGTCCCATTATTACCTTTAATAAGTCTTGAATTTCTCTGTGCTGTGATCCTAATCCCCCTCCCAAACCAAAAGCCAAAACACTCAAGCCCCAAACCGCAGTCACTAGTGAATATGGGATGAATTATTATCTGAGCAGTAAAGATACTGAAAATCAGAAATCCCTAAAAGGCAATTTATTTAAAACTTGTAATTTATTTCTGTGTGGCAAGGGATCATATCATCTTTTTAATATGATAATAATAATAAATTATAATAATATCATCATTTTATGTAACGCTCACCTGTTAAAGTACTAGGATATGGACTTGGCACAGCTGAAAATGAAGATGATGCTCCTCCAAAGGGTGTCATTCCTGAGGGCCCTCCAAAAGGAGTCATGGAATGACTATTAAAATTAACTGCTGATCCCTTTATTGACGGTGACTGTGTTGCTTGGCTGGAGTCTGATCCTTAATGGCTGACGTGGGAAATAACAGGTTCTGGAGTATTATCAGTTCTGTATTTCATGGCTGGACCTTTATCTTCTTTGCTTTTAATGCACCCCATGGTTGCTCCTGTGAGAATGAGAGGGGAAAAGAAAAACAAAAGAAGAATTCATTTCCATGTTGTCTTTCGATAATTAACGCAGAAGGTTCCCAAAAAGTTACCAAAAATGCTGACTTTTTACTGTTTAAAAAAACCTGAAACAACCCACAAGCAATTACTACCACATGCAGACTATAAAATCTAATGAAAGAGTTCTGGAATAAAATCTATGCCCTTCCAGACTAGAAGAGACCTAATTCTTTTCACTGACAGCTTCACATACTAACAGCATATTTGAGTTATTCTTTTTCCCAGTTCCTTGGTGGACTGCAAATGGCAAAAGAGAAAAGAAGGGGAAGTAAAGAGAAAAAAAAAAGAAATGGAGGGAACTGGGCAACAGATGAGGTGAGGAAAAGACGCTGAAGACTTCTACAGCAGGATAGAAGGGGAAACAGATGTGACAAATCCATAGTCAATTATACGAAGCAAATCTGAAGCAATTACACAAAGAAAAGAAGTGGGGCATTCCCACCAGGTCCTGACCAGCTGGTGGTATTACAACTAAGATATTTGAAGATGTAGAGAAAACTTTTCATTTACTGCCAGCCCCCCCCAAATGAAGCTCAAAACCAAACCTGGGATATTCATGGCCACAGGACAGAGTCATGCTCTAGTCTAACTAGAATCAGAAAAATCATTTAGAAGAGTAATTACAACATCCACAGTGGTTTAGAAACTGAACCGCACCAGGACAGGTGACAATTTATAGCTGACAACCCAAGACTGCCCCACAGCTCCCACTGTGCCAGATCTGTTTACTAGGGGGACACCTATTCTGTGCTGATGCAGGAGATAAGAGAGGAGATGTGTCACCAACAGTTAGAATGACTGAATCTTAAGAAGTCACCACCTGCCATTTATCAGGTGGTGACAACTGATAGCAGGCATTCTCTGGCTTATCCCAGTTGGGAAACAAATCAGTAAGTAAGCAGGAGTCTCTATTAGATGCAATGCTAGTCTGACATGAAAACTACTGTATTCTTGCGGGGGGAAAAGGTTAAAAATCTACTTTAACTTAGAAAGTAGAAACCTCCACGAAACCAGAAAATCAACTGCTACGCATTCTCTAATGAACCAGTTAAAAAAACCCAAACAAAACCAACCAACCACCACCACTAAATACCCAGTCTGAAAGCAATACAGTAAGTGTTCTGGTAACAACAACAAGAGTTTCGGCTCTAAATAACAATAAGGGAAACAATGTTTCCCACTGTGTGTTTAACTGTTTTTTAATTTTTCAATTCCCTCTTACCTGTTTAACTCTTAGGCACAGAAATACAGAGCACAGTAAATCTTATTAAACAAATACTACCTTAATATAGTCACACTGAGAGAAATTAATACCCTCTGTATAACCAACCATTACAGTAGAAAAGATACTGTAATTTCCTCAAGAACTGTGAATCAGAGTTCCTGGAAAGAAGGCGACCCATAGCTGGTGAAACACCGTATGAAATTTATTGCTCATAAAGATTAAGAATATTCACCCTGTCAAGTCAGCCCCTAATGCTGCAATATAGTAAAATTACTGGTGTTGAAACAAGCAGGAAGAATGTCAAATAACAGCATTTTCACAAATCTCACCTGGGAACTTTACACAGAATAATGAATCATCATAAAAATAACACTTTTTTTTTAAACTTGATACTACTATTGCTGATTTATTAATTGTACAAAAATGTTAATGGAGAAAGACTCAAATGTATGCATTAAGAATGTAGTGTGCCTAAATACCTTGCAAAAGGCACTTTACAACCTACAGTAGAAAAGCCAGTTATCAATACACAACACAAGTCAATCAAATACCCAATCACATCCTTTGAATCTCTCTACCACTGCAAATAGCTGCTGTAATTTGAGCCACTTTTTTTTCTGGCCATGTGGCTGCCTATGGTGAATTCTTGCCTTACTCTGAGGCCCATTTCTTTGACTCTTTAAAAACTGCGAAGTTTTCTGCTAACACTGAGTAAAAGTCCAATCACCTTTGCAAAAATGCCTGATAACAGCACTGATTCCTCGCCTTTGGCTGAAAGTTAAGCATCATGCACGACTCAGACATCCAGCACACTATTTATATTAATAAAATAGATTAAAAGGTAAATGTATGGACATTTGCATGACTAAATGTTCGTCACAAATATTTTACTTCTGGCATTTGGTTAACCTGTAACAGGCTGATAAGACTTGGGTGACATAGTTTAGTGTGTGGGGTCCCTGCTCATGGCAGGGGGGTTGGAACTAGATGATCTTAAGGTCCTTTCCAACCCTAACTATTCTATGATTCTATGATTCTATGACTTCAAGATTAAAAATAAATAAATGAATGAATGAATGAAACCATTTACTAAGTCCAGTAAAACTGCAGGATTCTGCATACGGTATTGCTGATTTGGCCAAATGGCCAATGTCAAGGCTACCCTGCACTGAAGATACAACTGCTATCGACCGTTATCGAACTGCTCACCTGCGTGAGCTGTGGTTAGCAGCAAGAAGTTACCACTGGTACACTGGAGTGATGCAAAGAAAAGCCCTTACTGGAGACCTGAATTCATTCCAGAGAAATAGCCTCTCCCTTGCTTCTCTACTCCCCAGCCACTTCACTGTTAAGGTAATCTTCTTTCAGGGGTTAAAGAGATTAACAACAGAGATTTAATCAGCACTTCAAAGAGAAAGACATTCAAAAATGAGCAGGGAAAATTTAGAAGCTCTACATTTATAACCACATACCCACAAAACAAACTAAAGGAAGCAAACTCCTTCGCTTTTACAAGGCAAAAAAGTAGGTGGAAATTACTACAAAATACTGTGTATGCATTTATGAGGAGGAATTAGAAGAATGAGGGAAGGGAAGACGACATAAACCAAGACTGAGTGGTAGGGAAGGGAAAAATGATTGCCCACCCTATGGGGCAACGACTTATTACTGTTTAGTCTTGTAATACATTACCGGATAAGGGAAAAAAAAAACCAATCCTTAAGCAGCTGGTATGGAATGTTGGATTTGATTATTCTGGTACTGCATTTGTTATCAAAAATGTATGTAACTGAAATAACTTTACCACTATTTTTATCACCCTTTGTTTGACCAGCAACAAAATATTAAGGAATACATTTCTGTCACTGAATTCATGATGCTCTTTCTGAAGTGTGGAAGTCTTTTTAGAAAGAGGTACAGATGACAAGTTCCTGTTTGCTCTGCAGAAGTCCATCTATTCAAAGAAATACTGGCCCAAGGTATGTTATTCCCAAGCCACTGATTTCCCATTAGTTAAATCATTATTTTAGACTAGACTGGTATCTGAAGAAAACTACCTGAGTAACTTCAGCACCTTGTTCTTTCTTTGAAACAAATACTCTTCTACTGATTCTCATCAGCGTGCCCACTGGTGGAGGGATTTGGAGTCAGCTTGCTTGAGGTCTATCACGAAACCATGTTCAGAAATCCATGGACTAAAAGCACAGATCTTTTGTTCCACTTTCTAGATGAAAACAATCCTACATTAGAATATTTTCAAGAAGAAAGGGTAGCTGAAAGGCTACTGGAAGGACATCTGAAGGTTAGCAGGTTGCCCATAAAAATCAATAAAAGAATGACAGTAGTCCAGGAAACAGCCACCAAATGAGATTTTAGTGACATCTAATTTGACTTGGGCTTTTTAGAGAAGTCACACAAAGGGCAAAAGTTTATTATTGTTCAACACTCTACAAACACCGGAGACAATGTCAGAGGATACTTAATAAACCTTCTGCCAAACAGGAGATCTCCAAGAAAGTCAATGCTGCCCTCTTATCTTCCCAACGCCCTTTTATAAGCAGTGCTGGATTGCAAGAAAAGCTTTGTTCAACAGCAATTGAAAAGTGCGGCCAGTAAAGTATTTGTTTTTCTTTTTTGCTTTCCTTTCAGAAGGATGACCTACCAGCCCAAGAAAATTAAATTTTTCCTCAAGAGCCATCATATCCTAGGATACTAACAGCTCAGGGTGTCTGCAGCCTCATCCATCCAGCCCTGAGAGGTGGGTGCCACAAGGGAACCACTTGTTCATCCAATGTGTCTTTGCTCTTTCCAGTTGATAGTTACAGAAGTTACCTACCTACTCATTGGTTCTTCTTGGAACACAAAGAAAGATCTCCTGCTGGCATGAAGGAAGATGATACAGCTTTCTTTGAAAGAGGTAATTTTAACTCAAGTGGATAAACTGACAATCTGCAACAGTGAGCTGCCTCGGAGCAAAGCAGTCTACAAATGCCTCAGAACACCCTATTCATTTCCTCCTCTTACTCTACCCGTAAGCATCAAGATTTCGAGGGCTAGATGTTAGCCTCTGAAGCCCTGAAGACCAAAGCTGGGAAAGCTTCACTTGCTGCAATGGATTTGATAACAAAACCCATTCACCAGGCAAAAACCTAACCAAACCAACAACAAAACCAAACAAAACCAAACCAAAAAAAAAAAAAAAAAAGGAAAAAAAAAAGAAAAGAAAAGAACCCCCCCAAAACAACACCACAAGAAAAATTAGGACTTTTCTCTTGGGGCCAATTGGAGGTACTCTTCTGATCTTGCACTTCTGTTATGATATAGCACATCCCCAGATGCCTTCTGGAGAGTTGGTCATGACGTAAGGCCAGAACGACAACCACACGTAGCCATTCTGACATGCCATAAAGGGAAAGACGCTCTGGAGAGTTGATCTCTTTTCAGCCTCTAAACTAAACCAGGTACTAAAACTGTACAAGAACTAAATGCAAGAGTTAGGGCAAAATCAAAATCACTAACGGGGAGGATGGGTTGCAACATTTCTTTTCTTCATTTCTTCCGAGTACTGAAATTGTTCATAGAGCCAAAAAGAGCACACAAGTCATTTTTAAGTATGAGAGTCAAGTTAGAAGAACAAGCATGTCAAGTCTCCTTCCAGAAGGATAAAGCAAGACTGCAAATATCCTCCTGTCTAAAACCAACAAAA